TTCGCACGGCTATAGCTTATGATGATTTATTTTTTTTATATTATAAGGCTTTGGTTACGTTTATTATTTTTTTATTTATTCTTTTTCTTTTGTTATTATTGTTGTTGTCGTTTTAGCACAAAACACTGGTAAACACAACAGACATATTACACATCGCCGCGTCCAAAAAATCGCAGAACATAACAAAACCAACAACTACACCACCGACTTCAAAGGGGTACAACAGCAACAACAACGCCAGTGCGCCAAACAATCAAACCACCATCAACAACTACACAACGTAACGAACGCAGCAACACGAAACGACGTTAACGACGATACGAAATCACAGCGGGCACACAACCACTCACGACCGTTGACTTGATGTGACTGACGACTGCCAACTCTGGCTGAGTGTTTGAGAGGTTTTCGTTTGTTTGTGGTACGGTTGGATGGATGGTTGGTTGCATGAGGGGGCCCAGTCGGACTGAGCACGATGTGCTGATGTTCGCAATATATGTTTTACGACAAACGAAGTGTGTGTGTGAATTACAGTGGGGCATTTTTATCGCAAGCGATTGGATATAAGGAACTGCGAATGATAATGGATTCGAGCAATTGAAGGTAAGATTCTGAGAATTATTATCGTTAAAATATAAAATATATCTCCAATGGGTGGGAATCCTTCTGAAAGTTCCCTATCGAAGGTTCCCTCCAAATCAATACCTAAAATTGAAAAGAAATAGCTGACCTAAAATTCCGAATAATGAAGGGTACTGTTATATGGGGGCTACACCGAAACCTGGTCCAGCATTGATACGTTTTGGTAGGAATATGTTTTACCCAATTACACTTCTAACACAAAATTACAACCGAAATTTAGAAGGCACCGTCATATGGAGCCGACCCAAAATAGTGAACAAATATTTATAATTTTTAGTGGGAGGATTTGGTACCAAATGAGAGCCCAAAATACGAAATTCAAGCCAATTCAATTGCGTGATCCAAATACCGAATAGGAGGGCTTTATAGAAACGTGGACCCATAAAACCCATTTTAATATGGACCCATAAAACCCATTTTAATCCAACTTCTGAAGTATAGGTCCTCAAATTAACTCTGAAAGTTCCTGGCCTCGTAAAGCTCTCTCAGATAGATGACAGGTTAGGGTTCTCTGCAGGCAGGTTTCTACTTCTGTATAGACTCTATAGACAGGGATCCTATCAAGGTACAAACACTATGAAGGTCCTTTATAGTCTGAAGGTTATTCAAAATAAACATTGAAGGTTTTCAACCCATAGAGGATCTATTAATGCTCTGCAGGCAGATTACCTTTTAAGTTCATACGAAGGACCTCTTAAGGTTTCCTACAGACAGAAGACATATGACTTTCGCAGACACTTTAAAATTGTCCAAAGACAGAGGTCATCCTACAGAGGTAACACCTTGGAAGGTCCTCTACAGATAGGGAAACTTTCAATTTCTTCTAAAGACAGAGACCGTTCTAGCCATGGGACTACTATGGATAGATGACCCCTGAGAATCCTTTAAATGCCTTCCATTGACCGATGACCGCTGAATGTTATCTAAAGACAAGGCATCCTCTATAGACCTCTGAAGGTCAACTGCAGACGAAAACCCCTTGAGGGGTTTCCTTAAGATAAAGGGCACCCTAACTTCTCCTATAAATAGAAAACCCATGAAGGTCCTCTATTGACCCTCTAAGGGTCATTTATATCTAGAAGATCTTCTATAGGCAGAAGATCTTCTACAGGGATTTTATAGCCAGTACAGATTCTGCAATTTTTATATAGATCGAAGTCAATTTGCATATAGACACTCGGCGGATCTTGTACAGCTGGAAAACCTTTTACAGGTCGTATATTTCCCGAATAATGTTTTCAGTACATAGAATACCTTCAGCAGGTTTTTCGACAGGTCTCATAGCCCAATTACCTTCTGCAGGTCTTCTATAGCCAAATAACTTTCAGAATGTCTTGTATAGTTAGAAATTATAGCCAGAAGACATCCTAAAGGTCTTCTTAAGGTTGAAGGCATTCCGCCACACCCAGAAGAAGATCTTCAGTCCATGGAAGATCTTACGCAGGCCTTCTATAGCCATAAAGATGTATGTATTTTATGTACCGAAGACACTCATCAGGTTCTATATAGGTCCATTTTACAGGTCACCTGTACCCCGATGAAAATCTTCGGTCCATAGAAGAATATCTCCTATGGATAGGAGACTATCTGAATATGGGCAGTAGACCGTTTAAACGTTCTGTTTACAGACCGTCCATAGTCCATGCCATAGATAACCTTCAAAAGGTTTCCATATCTTCTAGAATCATACAAACTTCTTCTAGACAGTAAACTTTTGGAAGGTATTCTATACACAGAAGGCATTCCGGACTCCTACTATAGCGCGAGAACTTCTGCAGACTTTCTATAAATGGATGCACTTCTATAGTTCGTCTTTGGATGCCCAAATGACCGATATCCAGATTTTCAAAAAGTCATTCGGTTTATAGATGACTTCTGAAGACCATCTCTCTCTAGAATACCATCTGTCTATTAAATACTTTATGTCTTTCCCTGAATGTGTAGGACCGTCAGCAGAACTTCAGGAATTCTTGTTGCCGTAGATAACCTCCAAATCCTTCCTTGGAATACCTTCTAACGAGGTCTGTATAGAGGGAACAAACCTTGAATACTTTTTTATGTCAAAAGCCAATGTTTAAGGACTACTATAGACCGAAGACCTTCTATGGTCCTTTTATAGCTAGGTGGCCTTCTGAGAATGTATATAAAAGGTCTTCAATGATGTAGATAGAATATCCACTAATGTTAGAAGACCTTCCGGAAGCATTTTATATACAGAGGACCTCGGTATGTGGACCTTCTGTCTTAAATATAGAGGTAAGGTTCCAAACCCGTCTTCTACAGACAAAAAAATTTAAGGCATTCCATAGACTGAATATCTTCGAAGGACTTATGTTGAAAGAAAATTCCCTTCCGTTGGAATTTTATAAACATAATATAACTTTTAATAATTTTATACAGTCTGAAGATAAGCATTTCTTAAGGTCTTTTGTGGACAGAATACCTTCTGAAGGCCTTCTCTAAACGAAGATAGCCTGAAAGGCTTCCATGGACATATACAATGGATAATACAATATTCGTAGCCCGAATATTTTCCGAATTATTAGACCGAATAACTCTGAAGGTTTTCTATGATGTACGAGCAGACGGAAAATCATACCTTCCGAAGGTATATAATAAGCAGAGGACACCTGAAGGTTTTTCTGAATAAACAAAGATTTTTGTCTCAGACCATTTGAAAGTCTTCTGTATATATTCTGTAGCTTGAAGATTCTGATGATTCCGTACTCTATTAATAAAATACTTTCAGTCCATTGGAACCTCCCTTTAGAGTTAAGAAAATATTATCTAAAGTTATATGGCAAAACATTCTCATGGTGTTCTATAGACAGAAAATATTCTAAAGGAGTTCTATAAAAATAATATCACCTTAAAGTCGTCTATCGACCTCCGGAAGGCCTTCTATAGCCAGGAGGTTTCTGGAGGTTTTTTTTTTAATACGGTCTACTACAATGTAGACAGAAAATCCTCTATAGTCAGCAGACCTTCCTAAGGTATTTCATAGATTTTGAAGGTCTTACATTGACAGAAGACCTTCTGAAGATCTAGTTATTAAATGGACCATTTGAAAATCTTCTATGTACCGACTAAACGTATTTAATATATAGAGGATACGTCTGAAGGTCTTATATAGACACAATAACTTCAATAGACTGAATAGGCTTTTGTACACAGAAGATTCTACGATGTTAGACAATCGTCAAAAAACTGAATGCCTCTGAATGTCCTCTTTGAACAATAAACCTTCCGAAGGACTTCTAAAGACAGAAAACTTGCAGCCTATATACAGCATTTTATAGACAGATAAACTCTGAAGGTCCTCTTTGAGCAGTATGCCTTATAAAGGTCTTCTATAGAAGGGGAATCTGTCTGAAGGTCTTCCATTGACAAACAATCTGTGTACATAAAATGTCTATATGTAGAAGACTTTGTCTAGGTTCTCTTTAGTCAGAATTTCTCCCGAAGTCCGTCTATAATCAGTTGACCTGTGTTCTCTGCATTAAAAAATCCTTTCCTTCATAAAAATACGACACTTTTGTAATTTTTTATTCTTAGTGATATTTTTATTTTATTTTTTTAGTTTTTGTTGTTTGTTTTAATTTATACTTAATGAATACAATCGGAATTGGGGGCTTAATACTTAATGGCTATTTAGTAATGTATAAAAAATGTATATATGTATATTAAATGTTAACAATTAATAATTAATATATAAAAATTTTACAAAATGTTCGGTAGATTTTTTTTTCATTTTTCACACTAAATACTAAATTTACATAAAAAAATACAGATTCGTAAAAATCGCCTTAAGAACTAAGAATTTTGTTTCATTTCTTCAATTAAAAAAATATATAAAAAAATAATTATTTTTTGTATAAGAAATATTATAATACAGAAAAAAAGAAAGAAGAAACTTTTGTTTACAATTTTTTGTTGTTGTTGTCATTGTTCAAAAGTTTTATGGACGGAAAAATTATTTGTCAAGTTTTTGCGAACAGCAACAACAGGCAGACAGATAAATATCAGTTTCTATCTTTTCCTTTTATCAAAAAAATACAAATCAAATAAAACTGTGAAAGAGGGTATGGCGCCCAATTGTTTGCCTTCTCATGAAACTTCAAAACAGTTCGTTTTTTTCTAGTTTTTAATTAGCTATGAATGACGAATGACACACATACATATAAATATACTCTCTCAACTCAACTATGTAGCTATTAAAGTAATTAATTAATATAAAAATGTTCTTTGTTGTTATTGTTATTTACAAAAATCATATAATATGAACGATAATAGGTCTTGGAGATAGCGCATTTGAACTTGTTACACGAAACGACTTTCCTTCCCTCTGCTTCGCTTTCCTAGCTGTGCAGGGGTCCACGTGTCCGTGTCACTGGACCACTACCAGGTGGCAATCGATTACCCGGACGTTGATGTACAATGGCATAATGATCACTTTCCATAGGCACTGACCTTTAAGTAGAGAAAAATAAAAATAATCATGGAATTAATGAAAATATTTAAGACTTTAAAATTGTGTTACAATTTCTTTAAGTGTATGGTAGATAAGATTTAGAGATGTGTTGTAGTTTTTGATTTCAGATTTTTTGTAGTAGAACTGAATAATATGAAGTGAATAAAAGTCATATCAAATGTTAGATAAACAATTTGTGAGTGATTGAATGACGAATGGACGGACTGTGAACAACTGCGAATTTCGTTGATAGAAACTGTGACGATATTTTGTTAAAATTGTGAGAGCTGAAGGTATTTATTTAATAGCATATTTAATAGTCAAAAGTAGATACATTTGAGTCTCCCTAGAATTTTTTTAATACCCTCCACCATAAGTTGGAGAGCATATTCGAGTAGTCCGGTTCAAACTTTTTCGGTTCGCTACACATAGATCATTTTAGCTCAATTGTTCATTTTTACCCATTCGTTAATTAGGTCAAAGAACGGACCATTCTATATAGTTCCGTTGAACGATTGTATGAAAAGGAACTAGGTGAATGAGAGCACTAAAAGGAATGACTGGGCCATAAGGATCTACATGAACAAAGGACCGGGCTTGGTACCTTTCGATAGTACCTGCGGAATAGTTCTTTTGAAACAACAGTTGGGACGTTATTTTGTCTATGGAAGTTATTCTTCATCTTGGTAGCAGATATTCTGTCTGCAAGAGACCTTCACAGGGCCATATACCTACAAATATTTCACAATGGCTTTTTACTTGTCCCATGAATGCCGTATTAAGCGATTTTAACAGTAGTTCGTTTCCGGCTCAAGTGTATTTTAAATTTGTCACCTCGAAATATTTTTTTGGGACCCCACTAAGACTCTTGATTAAAATAAAGTTCTATGTCCATTTATCCGTCCCTGTGTCTGTTGAAATCACGATAGAGCTTACAATATTTAAGATAGGGCCTTGGAAAATTTCACATGTATTGCTAGTACTCCTAGAATATTCTGTATTGAAAATGGGAATGATCCACGTTCTTGGGCCCTTTTAAGTTTAGACCCCATTAAATGATTCTACCGAAATTTCAGTATTTTAGCGATAGTTTGGTGCCAAATCTGCCCTCCTCAAGTTGTCTACATTAGATACCCCTCAAAATTGTTTTTTTATACCCTACACAACTATGTATTATAGCTTTGTGCAGCCCAAGAGTTTGTAACGCTGCGAAATATTGGTCCTAGACCCACCTTTAAGTATACCGATTGGCATATCTCGACTAGCTGAATCGATCGTTGACCTTTAAATTGATACAAATTATATAGTCATATATACTCGGATGTGGGAGTTACACTTAAATATTTACAGATGCTTACGTATTCAGATATTATTTAGTAAACCACTGGAGGGCGGAAATATAGGGTCAAGGAAAACGGCTATAATTTTCGGTGATGATCAGATAATAATTTCGGGATGAAATGGACGGAAAACTTAATTTGTTGTGTTTTATTCTAGTCGTTCTATAGGCCACAATTGAAAGCCGAACATCACAACAAAACTCAGGGTGAAGGGAATGTGTACAAGTAATTAGAAGGGCTGTACTGAACATTAGTAATATTTGTTGGCCTCTAGTTGGTCAAGCCCTGAATATAGAACCACATTAAGTCAGATGGTCGGCCCCGTCCGACTATCATCAATATCAATAGGGTAGCCCCCATATAGCGGTACCTCCCAAAATTTGGCAGTTTGTAGAGTAATTTAGTATTGAATAGAAAGGACTTCGACATTTATGGCGAAACTATTCCAAAATGGAATAGAGTTCTCCTTCAAAAAGTCTACAGAATGCTATGGCCATACGGAAGTCATAAGGGCATGAGGTGATCTTCCGTCAATAGACACATTTCTCTTTCTTTTTTAAATTCTCTGATGCCTAAAAGTATGCTCTATTCTTTACCGGGAATAGTTTTTGATCGTCAGATAATCGTATGCAGTTCGCAATAAACCCGTTTCAGAATAAGAGTGTCGAACCTATTTTTAGATCAAGGCTTGATAGAAAGATTGATGGGTGGGTCCCATCTTGGAACCAAATCAGGTTCAATAATTAAGTATGAATTAAATCGTATAGTTCACACAAGGATTACAATTTTTCAAAGTGTTGATCATTCATGGGCGAAGTAGTAGAAAAAGATAAAGTTGTCCAATATTTCCCGAAGTTTGAAGTTTATATTTGGTTTGCAAACATTTTACGAAGTGACGGACATTTTTAAATAGAAATCAAATTGTCCGAAACAGACTGGGTTCCATGAGGTCTAAACCTGATATTTTGACAAGGCACATTTTTGATGGTATCAAAATATTTATATCGTCAGGGTCGGAAACAAATTAAGAAATATATTTAGAATATTATATAGAAAGAAACATTGAAGAAAAAAATCTATAGAAAAATCCTCAGCAGATAAAAATTGAAATTTTCTCCACAAGCACAAGTTCAGTCACTGAGGAGTACTCATATCATTTAACAGCATTTGTTGAGCATCGATATTTTCTATAGGAAAATGTCTCAGAATTTAAGTTTTCATCTGTAGAAGATGTCAGGAGATAAGAATCATATTTCCATGGCGTACAATCTGAATCTGATGATCGATTTTTTTCTATTAAAAATCTGCAAAATTAAAACTAATATATGAATATTAGGACCAATATTTTTTTATGAAAAGTTCTAAGGAACAAACTTCTCTGTCATTGAACTTTGATTAACATTTTTTTCTAGGGAAAAATATTTTTAAAAACTTAAAACCTTCTTTTGTGAATCAAAAAGGGTTATCAGTGGGTAAAAATTGTATTTATTGTAAATTTTCTGGAAAGCTGGATTCCATTTTTTGTTGAAAATTAATATTTTAGGAATCTTTTTTTTAAGCTCAGAAAATAAGGACCGATGTAGACAAAAATCCTTCAGAAACTAAGGAGAAATATTTCTATAGAAAACAAATTCTCAGAAGCTGAGATCTTTAAATTTTTGTTTTCGCTATCCGGCGAAAAATAAGATCAAATTCTGTACAAAAAATATCTTCGGAATGTGAGGCAAATATTTTCTGTTTCTATTAAGAAATTTTAGAATTTGAGACATAGATTAGAAGTTTATTGTATAAACAAGCAGATCAGCATTGGAAAAAATATTTGGAGTCGATGTAAGCGATATTTGCCCTCTAAAAACGAGGTAAAGTTCCGTCGGCCCGAACATTTTACACCCTCCATCATGAGGAAACCTACCATTATATTGGATTTATGTTCCATATATTTCTAGGAGGTCTAATATTGGCAATTTTCGACCAATAGTAATTATGACCCTCCGAGAAACTAAAATACCAAAAGAATTTCAAATGACTACTGTCTAAATATGTCAAATATAGGAACTCGAACAAGTAAAAACCTTTCAATCGGTGTTGCCGACTGATATACCCTCAGCTCAGGACTACAAACAGGTTTTATTATTTTTATTGGGAGGTACCAACGTAAATCGACTACAAATTCTCTAAAACGGATTTGGTCCAAAGAAAAATAGGGTCTAAAACCAATCTACGAGGTAGATTTTTTCAGTATCTCATCGGCCCAGGTACTATTTTATATAATCTGAACTGTTAAGATTTCAATGTGTAGATCTGTTTGTGACATATATGAGAGATGAGGGAAGTTAGTAACATATGTATGTAAATTTTGTAAAAAAATCATTCATGAATACCTACATAAAATATTTTTAAGCGTCAAATGTGCCAAAAACATAATGGTCGGGACAGTAATAAAGCATGCAAATTAACTTGCGGGCAGTGTATGTTTGTATTTCATGTTGTTGTAGGGACATTTGACATGATGGTGATGATGATGTTTGTTTTTGTCTCATTTCCAGCCAAATAGAGTATCGAAAGATAGGGTAGGACAATGTATGTATGTAGGGTGACATAAATATTCCAATTTCCGTATAACATGCTGATGTAGGGTGACTATATGTTCATATAAATCATTGCTACTGCAGAATAGGCCCACCAGGGGGACCGGCCGAAAATTCGATGGGCAAGCAATTTGGTGGCCAGCAATAGCAGAGATCATCGTCATCATCATTCATTTCGGAGTAGTCACGTACGCGTTTATGTGAAGAGAGTATGTATGTATGTCATATTATGTTGTATGTAGCATAGCATAACTGTGTATGAAGTTCATAGAAAAGGGATTTGTTGTAGTTGTTGTTGCACATGTTCTTCTTGTTGTTTTCGTTTTTGTTGTTGTTGTGGTTTTCTTTTGTGATGGGCATTAGATTTTGTTTTCATTTTTTTAGTATCTATCAGACCTATTGGAATGTATGGTTGAACCGCCGCTGGTATAACCTTTGTGCGCATCACGTCCATGCAGCGAATATCTTGAACCATATTGGCTACCATGCCAACTTCTGTAGGGATCGTATTCTTCAATGATGGAGGGCTCTTTTTCGATTATCTGCAAGACAAAAAACCAACAACAACAGGAATAAATAAATTATGTAATAATTAGAAAAGGGAATCTCGCTTAACGGTTCTGCCATACCTCTGTATTGGCACAGCTGCAGCTCATGGCAGTGCATAGGAATATGTTCATCAACAACATAATAAGGAATAGAACACCAAGGGTAATAGCCAACCATAGCAGCCAAGTGGGTCGAATGCCATCTTCACAGTCGACAGTTGTGTCTGCAGGAAAGAGAAGAAGAAAAACGAAGAGAAATAAAACGGGATTTAGATCAGAAAACAATTATTAGGTTACGGTTTGAACTTACAGGGCGCCTTTGCAGGATCTAAAACAAATACTGTGGTCCCAGCAATACTTGAACCCTCTTCATTGGGATGTACTTTACGATTACCACCTTTGGTGCCGCCGGCACCTCCCACTCCAGCCACCGCAATTTGACTGCAATCTTCATCTTCAACACAGGGGCCATAGCATTGAATTACATCACATTGTAAATGGACTTCGGAACCTATTCCGGGGGAAAGGCATATATTATTACTTTTATTATTAGAGAATATTTATTGACCTTACCTTCAGGAAATTTGAACATAGATCTAAGTGTAGCTTCGGCGTAGTTACCATCTGGGCTGGGTACAAAACGTGAAATAATTTCTCCATCCAAAGGACATCTGAAAAGAAGGATATATATAAATATAAAAAAAATATCTGATATTAGAAATTCTTTCCTCTGGAGAACTTACCCTCTCTCATCAATCAAGGGAAGACTGAGATTCTTTTTGTCGAAGGCCATACAGTTGCCAACCTTAATGCCGTGGGTACCTTAAGTGAAATTAAAATATTAAATTAATTAAATATTTATTTGTAAAAATATAATAAAAAATGAGTAGTCATCAAGACCGGTTTTAAAATAGGCTGCATTGCAATTCAAGCACTCATTTGTTATATCCCCACGTATATTCAGCCCATCCTATTTAATAAATCTATTCATACTTTATTTTTTCATAGCGTCCCTGTACAGCACTTAGAATACGATAACATCTTTTATAGTCCTGAGAAAGCCTCACTTTTTTCAAAAATATGTAAACGTTTCATTAATATCAAAACTATTCTCATTCTTCGTCTTGCTCTACCACTATTTACGCCAATTTTTTATTCTGTTTTTTCCTATTACCATTAATTGTTCGGTTGTGTTTTGTTTTGACGTAGACAGTCCGTCTCTCCCCTCACTTGGTGGTTGTTAGTTCTGTAACCGAGTGTTCGGCTATTGTTGCTCTTGCTACCAACCTACGTCTGTCCACTTACTCTATTGTGGGTAGTTTAGTATTTCATTATTTGTTTATTTCAGACACTGCATTGCTATTGTAAAATTCGCATATGCTTTTTCCAAATTATTTCGATATAAAAACCAGATATAATATAGCACTCCAAAGTTATTTTCCCCCTCTCTGACATGAAAACCTTATTAAAGTTTTAGAGAATAATTTCGATTTAAAAAAACATACTTAAGTTCGGCTGACCCTATTTATTATATCCTCCACCATAGGGATCTATAAAAATTATTAAAATTCTAGCGATACTATAATACTGAAACTGTATAACTTCAATATTTTTCTGACCGAATCTATATTGACATTTTCGGTCAGGAGCTATTTTGGCCTCTATGAATAACGAAATGCCACTTCGGTTAAAATGCTTATAGAACCTTACAAATGTTGGGAGCCATTTATAGCTATCACCACTTATAAATATGTCTAAATATGACATATTTGGATCAGCATCATTTGTCAAAACTTGAAGTTAAGATTTGAATTTTATCCGAACTGTCAAACTGCATACATTTTGGATAGAAAATGTTGCTTGAAATGCATTTGGTATAGTTATTGTCATGCGGTAAAAAACAACATTTCAGAAAATAAGGTTAAGAATTCGCCTAATATCTTGAACATATATTGAATATTTTCTGTCAGGTGGAATTTCTTTTCTTAACCCTCCAAATTCCTAATTATAGTCACGGTTGGAAAAAGTGGCTAGGTTAATTAAAATAGCTAAAATTGGGCAAATACCTTTTATAAGGGCTATGAGTAGATAGTGTCCTATCGAAGGAGAAAACAATTCTTTCAAAGTGATTTTAGAATATTTGCAAAAAGATGGCTGCATTCCTCTTCAGATGAACTACATTTAAAGGTTCCTAACATTATAATAAACAACCTCGGCGTCGACATCAACACATGAGGATAATTCAAACTGGGAATGGCAGAAGATGGCGCCACCCAGAGGAAATTGCAACACTAAATAAGCAAGGATACCAACCAATGCACAAAATCGCAGCGAAGCAGAAAACGTTATTTCTATGTGGAGTTTGAATGTTTGTAAAAAGAGGCCCCCAGATGCAATGCATTCGAAGTCCCCTGACATTCTAATAACCAAACTCGGCCTCAACACATGAGAGAATATCAGGAGAGTGGCACCACTCAGGGGAAAATGGCAACACTAAATAAGCAAGGACACCAACATCTGTACCAAATTCAAGGATATGTTGTTCCTAGGCATCGATAGATGGCAGACTCATAATATAGGACAGGCTAACAATCAGACCAATAACTGGACTAAACAAGTGAAAAAAGAGTCAGTCGGTGTTGTCGAAAGATATGTACCCTCAGCCTATGGTTTGGAGAGGCGTTCGGAATTACATATGGAATATGTTTTTATCAAAGAGGATTAGGATTTAATATTGATCAAATCGGTTATTCAACTCGCTTCAAATTAAATTTACAAGTTAAAAAAATCACTCTTTGTGGGATAGGAAACCAGAAGGAGACTTGATTTAGGTGAATTTCGATGATGCACATTTTTCCGTAGCAAAGTACGTATACACTTTGCTACGGAAAGTGCAAAGTCGTATTAGCCATAAGGCTGAGGGTATTAAAACGAATAACAGAATCAATCGCGTTATTTAATGGAACTGTGCGTATGAGCCCGATATAAAATAGCACATCGAGCCAAATCCAACGAAAGTTGTTTGAAAATGAAAATGTGGTCATGTGGGGACTGATCCGTTTAAGAAATTCAATTGTGAGTGGTACACAATAATATGGTTGCCCGAAATCTTAGTTCTTCGAAAAACGAACAAGAAAATACTGAAATCCGCTAGTGTTTGACCGTTCAAAATGTGAAGTTGATGAATCATTTGCCGTTCAGTCCTGACTTGACATCCAGCGACTTCTTTTTATACCCTCCAACATAAAGGGGAGTGTATATTAAATTTATCGTTCCGTTTGAAACACATCGAAATATTCATCGGAGACACCACAAAGTGTATATTCTTGATATGTCGTTTCAGTCTTTCTGCCTTTTGAAATTACGATAGAGATCGCAGTATTTTAGATAGAGCTCTGAAATTTTGTTTGATATTGCAAATGGGATATGTCTGTCCACGTCGTCTTGGACTTTTTTTTTAAAAATTCATTTTAGCAGATTCGAAATAAAGAGCAGTCGTGAGCCTATGTAGAACAATTTTTAACCGGGAAAAGCCGTCGTGGCCTATATCGAAAGCAACAGCAGAGACTGAAGCCAGATCCGGAGCGTCACAACGAGCAATTCCTTCATCCTACGTCTCCAGCTATTTGTAGTATTACGAGTCGTACCCGAGCAGAAGCAGATCAAAGCCGGGTGTTGCAGACTTCAATCATTTCACTCTCGGTCACATCAATATAATTTTTCTGTAACGAACCCTACCCGATGAGCATACCCCAGCAACCGAAGGAACTTGTCGTTACAGTATAGCCATATATAACGTTGGCCCCACTATTAGGTTTTTTGAGAATTTAAACCATCCTTTCCTCATGAGTTCTTTTCCTAGGAGTTTCTAAAAACGTAGATATTTTGGATGACGGCAGATATTAACATCGTTTTTACTTGTTATTCCCTCAAATTGTCAAAGATTTTCGATCCTGTTGAACTTTCAAAACTTTGCATATTTTGATATGCAAAAAAGGAAGTATTTTTTTTTCTAGATGAGGATTAGGTCAGTGCTCAAATAAAAATGTGATGCACCGAAATTCGAGTTATGCGATACGGAATCTATACTTCTTATACAACGATTCAAATTTGAAAACTTATGTCTATAAAATCCCTCTATAAAAACATATATTGATATTGTAAATTATATAATAACTACTCCAATTTAAATTGTAACTAAATTTGTCCCTAAAATTAATCAGATTTTTAATTTATTTCGTTTCAGTTAGGCGAAAATGAACATTTTGAAAGAGTAAGCTCATCGACGTCATCACACAGTATAAGGGTAAGTAAATCAAACTTGTGGTATTTTAATTGATATTTTTTTGCTTCTATACCACTGCCGAAGTGAAAGAGAAAGTTAAACAATGAAGATCGATTCATTTAGAATATTACCTACATGTGACTTTCTATATTAGGAGTTTCATATATATTAAATTCAGTTCAAAGTTGTTAAACAGTCTTCAAATCTCGACAAATCATTATTTAATCCGCCAGCAAATTATTTGCTTTGGGACAATGGGTCATAAGGAAAATTACCAAAATGACAAGGTTGTCTTATTGTATGCTTAATAATATGCTCTGGAACATTAAGATTAAAAAAAACAAAAAATGATATGCTCATTAGGTTCACTAATTGCATTTTGCTAAGCTATGCGGCGGGAACCTATAAACATCGCTTTTGTTTTGACTCATTATACATTTTTGGATTCACCATAAAGGTTCGACTTGGAGTCAGCTTTTTGTTATGCTGATTAAAACTAATCTGAGAAAAAAAAAAACACTAACGATGAAGATTATTACAGATATTCATTGTCTGACCCCTAGAGAATATTTTTGAAGGACAACCTGATCAATAGGATTTTTAAACAATATTTGAAGGCCCCCAAACTAATAGGTATGGATTTAAAGGATTTTTTGTCATGGGCCACCAGATGTGTTTGAGTGTTTTTTTTTTCTTTGGGACATTTGAAGGCCAATAGGCGTGGATTTTTAATTTTAAAGTAAATTTTTTCAGGCTCTATTAGGCCAATAGGCGTGGATTTTTAAAGTAAATTTTTTCAGGCTCTATTAGGCCAATAGGCGTGGATTTTTAAAGTAAATTTTTGATACCCCTATCAGGATAATTTTGCGTGGATTTTTAAAAATATTTTTTCGGCTAGCCTACATAGGCGTGGATTTTTAAAAATATTTTTTCGGCTAGCCTACATAGGCGTGGATTTTTAAAAGTGTTTTTTCGGCTAGCCTATATAGGCGTGGATTTTTTTAAAAATAGTTTTTCGGCTAGCCTACGTAGGCGTGGATTTTTAGAGTAAATTTTATCAAGGAATATCAGCTACATAGGCGTGGATTTTTAAAGTAAATTTTTTCAACACCTATCAGGCTACATAGGCGTGGATTTTTAAAGTAAATTTTATCAACACCTATCAGGCTACATAGGCGTGGATTTTTAAAGTAAATTTTATCAACACCTATCAGGCTACATAGGCGTGGATTTTTAAAGTAAATTTTATCAACACCTATCAGGCTACATAGGCGTGGATTTTTAAAGTAAATTTTATCAACACCTATCAGGCTACATAGGCGTGGATTTTTAAAGTAAATTTTATCAACACCTATCAGGCTACATAGGCGTGGATTTTTAAAGTAAATTTTATCAACACCTATCAGGCTATATAGGCGTGGATTTTTAAAGTAAATTTTATCAACACCTATCAGGCTATATAGGCGTGGATTTTTAAAGTAAATTTTATCAACATCAGGCCTAGGCGTGGATTTTTAAAGTAAATTTTTGAAACACC